ACCTCACTTAGAATGGTTTCTTCTAGTTCCATCCATTTGTCTGCAAATATGGAGGCATTTTCTCAATTGTGTCACCTCTTCTTATATGAGTCTAGCATGTGCCAAACTGACAAAAAAAAAAAAAAAAAACCAACCAGGACACAATTATTTTTCAATAAATCTGAGTTGTAAGATACCATCCAATGCCAAAAAAGTTCAGTTGAATATGAAAAGCAATACCGATTATGCATGATATCAGTATCTGTGTTAGAAGGGAAGGATAAACTGTCAGCCTTCCATCCTGTGAGTTCTGTGTTCACAGATTTAACTGCGCATCACAAACACTTAGGAGTGTATCTGTGTTTTTAAAAGTGCACATTTTCTTATCATTATTCACAAAACAATATTAACACCTTATTTATCACTGAATTTGTTATTTTAAATAATGTAGAGAATATTTAAAGTATGGGGGAAATACACAGGTTTAATATAAATATAGTATGCTCTCTCCATCTTTGGAGACCGTGGACTCCTGGTGCTCAAACTGACCTCAAACTCCTGGGCTTAAGCAATCCCTCTTAGGTTCCCATTGAGTAACCAGGACTACAAGCATACACCACAGTGATTAGTTACTATTCCGTTTGTTAAAGTTACTTGAGCATCTACAGATTATTGTAGCCAATAGGGTTCCTGGAATCAATTACCTGAGGATAGTGAGGGCAAGCTGTAGTGGAACACCATCTAAATGGATAAGGAGAGAACCACCTACTAGCCTACTCATTGGCAATAACAGCTGAACCCAGAAAGGATTGAGTTTTCTATTACCAGTTAAGTGCAAGAGAAAGTTCAAGGGACACTAAAGGTACGGGAGTAACATAGCATATCTGAATTCTCAAAATTCTTACCCCAAAATTATTTCTAGAGGAAAAGTTATTAATTAAGAGAAACTGATGGTGGGGAAATCACAACCAATGAGAAACTAAGGAAATGATATGGTCTAAGTCTGCATTGTCCAGACAAGTGGACTCTATCACTCCAAATGTGGCTAATCAGAATTGAGATGTGCCGTAAGTGAAAATCACAAACAGCATTCCAAAGAGGTTTGAAAAAAACGATAAAATAATCAGTAACAATTTCACAGTGAGGTCATGCTAAAGTGATGCTTTATAGATGGAGTTAAATAGTTAATACTAACAATGTTTCTTTGAACATTTTAAGATTTGAGCACCAACATTTTTAATCTGTATGTGTGGATAGCATTATGTTTCAGCAAGGGAATACTGGAAGTGGCTAAACAATATTGAGATTGGCCATATTTTTTTTAAATATTTAAAGACATGAGACATACTAGTCTTTAAATATATGTGGGGGTCTGGAGGCACCTCCAAACACTTGTTTACTCTCCACACCCAAACAAAAAGTATTATCTAAATACTAAGAAAAAAAGAATCGAGGAGAATCACTGGCGTCAAATGCTCCCAAAGGTTAAGCCCAAAAGGTTAAGTCCATGAAGTTACCATTGGAAGATGTGCTTTGTGTTAGTATGTGGTACTTTTAAAAGGAGGGAATGTTTAGGTAAGGCTCTACTTTCATGCAGACAGAAAACTCAGGAGATAAAGTACAAGTATGTAGTGAGGTGACTGACATCTCTGAGCCCATAATGAGGGCTCACTGCAGGAAGAAAACTTGTCTACCACCTAAAGTATTGCTTTCTCTAAATCCAAGGTATGACGGGATATTACATGGTCAAGGTCATTGATTGATTGTGTGTGTGCTGGTGATTAAGACCAATGATATTCATACATATTATAGGCACACACACACATATACAGTTGTCTCTAAAGCTCTTGGTTTGAAGCTACAAAAATTTTATACACACAGGGATTTCACTAATACTTTTAGTCTATAGAAAAATACAAATAAGTGTCCTGACCTATGTTTGCAATTTCTATGAGACGCCTTACGCCTAACCCTGAGAAAGCCTCAAGAGAAAGCTTGTATATTAAAAGTTTTTCTATCCTTTGCTACCACAGCTATATTCATGACTACTTTTGGTGCCTAAAAGTATGTGTGTGTGTGCATGTTTATAGTACCTTAAGAAGGACCAGGAGACTAGACCCTTACAAGCCCTGGAGGCAGCCTTAGGGGCTGAGGGTATCTGAAACTTTTTCTTCACAAGTGGCATGGTATTAGGACATAGTGGACACTTCTCGTTCCTATAAAATGTCAGATTTTAAAAAAATATTTCCATTTATTTTACATATTGACCAGTTTCCCCTTCCTTGTCTCTTTCCTTCTCCCCCAACTCACATCTACCCCCATCTACTTCTCTATTTCCGTTCAAAAGGGGGCAGGCCTCTCATGGGCATCAACAAAGCATGGCACACCATGTTAACTCAGGACCAAGCTACTCCCATCAAGGCTAGGCTAAGCAACTCAGCATGGGAAATAAGTTCCCCAAAGCCATCTCAAGCACCAGGGATAGGTCCTGATCTCACTACTAGGAGTCCCACAAACAGATCTAGCTACCTAATGGTCACACAAATGCAAAGGGCCTAGGTCAGTCCCATGCCAGCTTCTTAACTGTCCTCCCAATGTCTGTGAGCTCCCAGGAGCACAGGTCAGCTGTTTCTGTGGGTTCCTCGGTAAAAATGTCAGATAAGGAGCATTAATGGGGCTTCTTAAGAATTATTTTCAGTTAATTTAGATATTCTCTACCTTTCAGATAGTTTGGATAGTGTTTGTCTATCTTGTTGATTTTCTGGAAGAATCAACTCTATTTCCTTGATTCTTTGTATTGTTTTGTTTCTTAATTGATTTCAGTCCTCAATTTGATTATTTACTGCCATCTACTCCTGGATGAGTTTGCTTCTTTTTGTTCTAGAGCTTTCAGGTGTTCTGTTAACTTGGTAGTGGGGGATTGCTAATGTGGGATTTTTCTATCTTCTTTATGTAGGCATTTAGTGCTATGAACTTTCTTCTTAGCACTGTGGTTGGGCAGTACATGAGGCCACTGGCAATGGGACCAAGATCTAACTCTAATGCATAAACTGACTTAGTGGAGCCCATTCTATATGGAGAGGTACCTTGCTCAGCCTAGGCACAGGAGGAGGGAGAGGATCATGGTCCTGCCTCAGTGAGGTAGATGATGGGACAGACTTAATTGACTTCCTAGGGGAGACCTTACCTTCTCTAAGGAGCAGATCGGAGGTGAGGTGAGGGGAGCAGGAGGAGAGGAGGAAGGGAAACTGGGATTGGAATGTGATAGATAGAATTACTATCAGGCTAGGTGGTGGTGGTACACTTTTAATGCCAGTACTCAGGAAGCAGAGACAGGGGGCACTTTGTGAGTTCAAGGCCAGCCTGGTCTACAGAGAGATCCAGGACAGTTCCAAAAACTACAGAGAAACCCTGTCTTGAAAAACAACAACAAAAACAATACTTTCAGCCAGATGGTAGTGTCTCATGCCTTTAATTCCAGCACTGGAGAGGCAGAGGCAGAGGCAGGTGCATCTCTGAGTTAGAGGCCAGACTAGTATACAGAACAAGTTCTAGGACAGCCAGGGCTACCCAGAGAAACCCTGTCTTGAAAAAAATAAAAAGTTCACTTTTTAAAATATGAAGGGTCAGGACTAAGGGTCTATGCTTGTTTTGGTCATATACTAGAAAAAGAGGAGAAATGAGACAGAGTATTTTCCTGGCCTCATTTACATGTTTAACTCTCTTATTCTTTCAGCTTAAGTTTTTTTCCCAAGAACACCAGCCTTCCACCTCATCCCCCTCTGCTCCCCAGGGAGGGTAAGGCCCACCATGGGGTTCACCAATGTCAGTCATATCATCCTCAGCAGGGCCTAGGCCCTTCCCCATGTGTGAAGGCTGAGAGAGCATCCCTTCATGTGGAATGAGCTCCCAAAGTCCTTTCTTACTCCAGGGATAAATACTGGTCTACCACCAGGGGCCCCATAGAGTGCCGAGGCCTCCTCACTGACATCTACGTTCAGGGGTCTGGATCAGTCCCATGCTGACCTCCCAGACATCAGTCTGGGGTCCACCCCCCCCCCCCCCTTCCAGAAATCTGTTTCAGCTTAAGTCTTTGAACTGTTCATTTCTGTTATAGTAGTTATACAAATATTTTTCACAATGGATTTTTCATCAACACATTCAAATATTTGATAAAAACCATGCCACCTGTGCCTTTTTAGTCATTAACCTTACTTTGTCCACATATGACCAAGTCTCATCCCAGTCCTCAGAAGGTCCACACCTTTCTTCCCCTCTCCCTATGCACTTCCAACAATACCATTATTATATAAATATTATATAAATAACACTATCCTATTATAAAAACTGAGCCCTCTATCCTCAGGCACTGGTTTCTAGCTATTCATTTCTCAGTCTTCTTCCCAGCCTTCCTTTCCACTTTTCCCTCCTCACTTGAGATCATGCCACCCTGCCGTTTTTTTACTCTTCATAGGTTTTTTTTCCTTTTCCAAGTTACAAATCACCTATGCTAAGAAGCTATCCAAGTGGCCTTAAGTAGTAACTTGAGCAGAGCCCCACCTCAGACAGTTCTAGGTCACTATTTTATCCCTCATTCCTTTCAAAGAGTCAGCTAGCAAGATAATGATGCTCCTTAATCCTCCAAATATGAAATCCTAAAATTGCATCACAACAGACTAAAGTTTTAAAATAAAACTTAACACTTTTATTTAAATGCTTAATTACATAAAATAGAAATTGGCAAACAAGACTTTCAGAGACAAAAAGAACCAACAACAGAAACCAGGCTGTTTAAGGGAGCACGGAATGGTGTCAAAGATCTTATAAGTGCTGGATAGCTGGGGCCAGGGGCCTTCAAAACTGCCCCGGATTGTGGTGACAGACAGCCTAGAAACCTCACACAACAGTAGATAGGTGCTGATTCCTTTTGTGGACCTGGGGCACAAAGTCACAGCCCCAGTGGAGTAGGGGAGTGAGAGCTTCCCCTACATCCTCCTATGGAGGAGAGTGAGGGGAATCCCCTACTTCTCTTCCTCTGATTCCCCAGAAGTGGAAGACTCCAGGTTACAAAGGTCAGGTGACATGGCACGCCAAAGGGCCTTGGGACTAGTATCAGAAATACCGCTCAACAGAGAGGAGCTTTGGTCATGTGACCTAATTGGTGAGTGCAGAGTTGAAACAGGGGATGATCTGGGGGAAGAAGAGCGGAAACCTTCATTATACTGCCCAGGGAAAGGATAGAGCCTACCAGGAGGGGAAGGGGAAGAGGCCCGCATACGGACTGGGCGCCTTGGAGGAGAGCTTGCAGTTGCTTTTAAAGGTCTCTTTGGGTTTTCTCGCGTCAGGCCGCCAAGGCCAGAGTCACTCTTCACCCTTCGTGCAGGGCTTCGGTGGCGGTGAGAGCCAGGCCTGGACTCACCGTGATCTTGGCGTTGTGTTGCAGCTCCTGTGTGGCAGGCACTAGGGCTAACCTCCAAGGCACTGCTACGATGACCAGACGCAGTGGCACCGGGGTGAAGAACGTCACCTTCGGGATCAAGGTTGAACTCAGATTCTCTGTAACCGAGACCAAGATCAGGAGGAACCTGCAGAGTGCCCTGTTGTTGGAGATCCTGGCCAGCAGGAGTGGTGTAGCTGCTGCCATCTGAGCTGGACTCAGGTGCACTACGGTGAAGACCAGAGAGAGGCAGAACAACTTGGCTGCTGACCTTAGAAGCCGGAGTAGACACATGATGTGACATGGTGGCAGTGCTAACGGAAGGTCCCAAGAATTTCTGGCTCTCTCTTGAAGGTTCAGAACGGCGAGATCTCAGATAATATGGCGGCTGAGACGCAGAAGGTGACTCCGTAGTTTCCAGAAGCTGAGGCCCAACTGGACATTTTGTAGCTAGGTATCGGTTGGGCTGCTTCCTGCTTCCACTACTTTCCATCTGAGCTGGGTTCCCACTGGATGACGTGGCGCCTTTCGACGGTTGGCCCACCTCTCCCTGGCTCCTTGTCCAAGGCCTAACACGTCCAAGTTCTGTGTTTGGGCTGCCAGGGCCACGGCTACGGTTCTCAGGCACACAAAATGTCCCCACATTTTTACCAGCCCCAGAGATAGCACCAGAAGCCACCATTTCGGCCTCGAGGTTCTGGAGAGCATTGTCTTTCCCAGAGGCACCACTGCGGGCAACGGGATCGTAACCGCGGGACTCAGAGGTATTACGAGTCTTCATATCTCCTAACACGACACCCTTCTGCTCCTTCCGGTGCTTCTTCTGCTTCTCTAGGGGTAAATAATTGGCCATATCAGCTTACCAGCTTCTTGGTGGTTACAAGAAACAGCTTCTCTTGCCTTCTTCCTCACTCAGGCGGCTTCTGGAGAGCCCGCTAGGATGCTGGGTAAAGATAGATTGCAAGGACGAGGAGAGTGGGTGGAGCTGGCCCAATTCTAGCCTCTGATTGGCCAGGTGTAGCTACTAAATTCAACTTCTGGGTGATTTTCCCCTCTGAACCTCCCTCCACCTGGCAGTGATTCCTGCTGTGCTGGAGGCCAGGGAAGCTTCTAGTGGTTTCTGGTGTGCTCTCCACCTCTTCCCTTCCCCCATCCTACTTTCCTGGGTCAAAAGTCTAAATTTCACAAGCCTTCCCACCCTGGCCTGAGAATGTTTGGGCTGGGAACATCTACCTGAATCGGTCTTGAGATCCATTTAGTTAACGATTTACTACATACTGACCACTAAGCTCTATCTCCTAGGCTATGCATGACCCTACTGCTGTCCAGGTGACTCAGCTAGGGGCTTAGGAGGTTTTAAGTTTTCTGAGGAGCCTAAGGATCTCAAAGGGGATGATGAAGTCCACATTGTCTTGAATTTGAAAATATTTAGCAAGGAATGTTAGGTCCTAAACACCAGACTCGGTTTTACAGTTTTCCAGTAAGACACCTTTCCCTGTCTTGTCCTGAGGCACAGGCCAGGCTGCCTAAGCTGATGAGTTAATTGACAGGCTTCTCTACTACTTTTTTTTCTACTTTACTGCCGGCACAGACCTTTTAAGTTTAACATTCATACACATTTTTAATTATTACAAGAAGGCTATTGTTTCTGGTATCCCCAAACAAAAAAGCAAATGTAGTAAAACCAGCAACTAGGCTGGGTAGTGGTGGCGCACACCTTTAATCCTAGCACTTGGAAGGCAGAGGCAAGAGGATTTCTGAGAGTTCGATGCCAGCCTGGTCTACAGATCTAGTTCTGGGAAAGCCAGGGCTACAAAAGAAACCCTGTCTTTAAAAAACAGACAACAACAAAAACAGCAACTAAATTTTCTCATGCCTACAGTCAAATACTGGGAAAGTTAAATTAAATATATATCTTAGTTTTAGGAAAATAGAATTATTTATATGGATCTCTATGAGTTTGAGGCCAGCCTAGTCTACAGAGTGAGTGCCAGGAGAGGCTCCAAAGCTACATAGAGAAACCCTGTCTCCAAAAACAAAAAAAAAGAACAGCTCACCAGGGTGGTGGTGGTACATACCTTTAATCCCAGGCAGAGGCAGGTGGATCTCTATGAGTTTGAGGCCAGCCTGGTCTACATAGTGAGTGCCAGGAGAGGCTCCAAAGCTACACAGAGAAACCCTGTCTTGAAAAACATAATAATAATAATAATAATAATAATAATAATAATAATAATAATAATAATAATAATAATAATAATAATAATAATAATAATAATAATAATAATAATAATAATAATAATAATAATAATAATAATAATAATAATAATAATAATAATAGATTGCCCATATACTCAAATGTGTCTTTATTGTGGATCACTTCTCAGAGGAAAAAATTCTTGTTATAAGCCTCTGCACATTTATAATTTTAGCAGAAGCAAATGGGACACTTAACAGAATGGATGCACAACTGGACTGGAACACAAAAATAGAATAGAATGGTATTTGGTGTGTTAAATAAGGTGGAATGGCAAATGGATCTGAAATAGAACGTAGAATGCAATGAAATGGAGACTAAGTGCAAAATAGAATGAAATAGAGAATGAAACACATACTTGAATAGTATGATATGGACAACTGAATAGGTCAAAATTGAATAGAATATAATGAGCAAAAACAGAATGAAATAGAAAATACCTAAGACATGAAAGAAAATATAACACATGAAAGAAATGTAGTGACAAATAAAATAATAAAATAGTGAGAAATCAAATTAGAAAAGATTATAGAATGGGACCAAATGTGCAGAGTTCTGGAATCATTTAGTACAGATTTTAAAATAGCAGACAAAGATATTTCAGATATGTGAAAGTGTGTGTGTGTGTGTGTGTGTGTGTGTGTGTGTGTGTGTGTGTGTGCTCAAGCTTCCTTAGTGCTTGGTTGTTACTGACAGGGAATAGGAGGTGTGGCCTTGTTGGAAGAAGTGTGTCACTGGGTGTGGGGGTGTGGGCTTTGAGGTTTCAGAAGCCCAAGCCAGGCCCAGTGGCCCTCTCTTCCTGCTGCCTAGGGATCTGGATATAAAACTCTCAGCAATTCCAGCATCATATTTGTCTGCATGCCACCATGCTTCTTGCCATTCTGATAATGGACCTCTAAAACTGTAAGCAAACCCTAATCAAAAGTTGCTGTGGTTATGGTGTCTCTACACACCAATAGAACACTGACTAAGACAGATTTTTTTCAGGTATTTGGAACAAGATTTCCCAACTTTAAAAGAAATGCAATAAAGTATTTGTAAAAATGTAAAGAATGCACATATGAAATATTGCAATTAATCAATTAATTTAACATAGTCACTAGCTATAAAGTCAGTATTATAAAACTGAATTATAGTTCTGTATACTAAGATCTGAAATTATGAAAAGGAAAATTCAAAATGCCATTTCCTGTAACATGAGAAAGTATCAAGCACCTATTACTGAACAATAAAAACACACAAGATGCTTGTTCAGAAATCACCATATGATTTCTGAAAGAAATTAAAGAAAACCACCATTAATTAGAGGCACAGCATGGTTAGCGGTGGGTTGGAACAGAGCATTTTCAAACCTTTTTTGTTTATGGCCCCTGCTCAGCTCCCCAAAATTTTATAGAGTCCCAGGTATGAAGGTATATAAAAATAGGTACACCAATAAAACAGTTGTTAATAAATCATAAAGAAATCTAATTTCAAATAGTTCTCTAGTATGCATGGAGTTTTGTCATCTAGTAAATATGATTTTAAACTTTCATACTAAATGGGATAGGTGGCCCTATTTATTTTTGCACAAAAAATTAAATCTTGGCTGGATATTTGATATTTCAGCATATAGAACATATTCAAAGATTTTCAGAGTTCATCAATGTTTTATAATTGTCAATGCCTAAAATGCTGCTTTATATAAAATGTAATATAAACATGTAATACCACAAAATTTTAGGATTATATTTAGAACCATTTCAGAAATTATTAGAAATTGTCACAATTCCAAGCAAATATTCCCTGTACATTTTATGAAACTCAGGACAGCAACCTAATAGGTAATTTATAAAATCAAGCATTCTAACTCTACACAATCCAAAGATAAGCTAACATGAGATACACTGAAAAATAATTATAAAAATATTAAATGTTTAAGTTTTAAAATAATTAAACAATAACGTTTCTGTATGTATTGTAAAATCACTGCAATCCATAGCAGACAACAATCTTTGAGTTGAGGTGTTCCAGGTACCAGTGATGCCAGTGTGCGATGCAAAGTACACGCCAGCTACATTCAGAACCAAGTCTAAAATGAAGTTGGGTGATGCTACACAGGTGAGCTGTGCCTAAAAAACCTCAGACTCACTATGTGTTTGATGTTGAATTAACTTTTTTTATTGTGTACTATTCAATAATGCTAAAGTTTTTCATTCATTTCCCTCATCCAGTTAAACAACAATATAGGGCTGTCTGTCACTCACAGTTTAGTTAGCTGATGACAAGAAAAATGATATTACAAAATTAAAAGAAAAATTCTCACCAGAATTATATACAGCGTCAGTTGAATCACACACAATAAAAACCTCAAGAGATTATTTGTCAGCAGAAATTGCGAAATTGATTCTGAAATATACATGTTTTTCAAAAACTGAAGAATAGCCAAAGATATTCAGAAGAAGCAATTTGAAGGACTTTTACTGTAATTTCTATATACAGTTTATTTTTACAGGAATAAAGATAAGTATATCTTTATTCAGATAAAAACATAGAAATAAACAAACTGAATAATAACAAAGAAAAAAAACAGAACTCACAAACAAGACACATCTAAGGCATCGGCCCACAGCAAACCTAGCCTAGCAGTACCATATCTAGGAGGGGACAGGAGACAAGAATGTAAGTAACCAAGGAAGGACTAATTGGTACTCAAGCCACAGAGAAAACATAAATGTGGCCTCTAATCCGAGCCACACACAAAACTAAATTCCACAAGACAAAGCTTATATCTGAAACATTATATAGGACACAAGATCATTAACGATTAAGAAAAGCATTGACCAAGTACACACAATAAACAAAAACATTTAGAACAATGGAATTAAATATAAGCACAATAATTCCAACAGATATTTCACAAGCTATGATATTCAGTGAACTTGTAAATAAATTCTGCTCAAAAGTTTGCTACAAAATGCAATCACAGTGAGATAGCAGTAAGCATCTCTAAGGAAAATACAAAATGACTACCATCCACAAGAGTGGAAGCGGGTATAGAGGAACTAAAACATTGAGGAGGTAAGCTGGTACCTCTACTTTCAAAAACCGTTTGGCAGTATGTATTTAAGCAGAGCTTATGCGTTTTCTATAACCCAGTAATTCCATGTGTGTTTGCTCTAATCTTACATAACAACCCCAAATGCAATAACTTCATACAGTGGCCATTTATTAGTTCACAGTTCTATAGGTTCAAAGGCCCATATTGAACATGATGGGTTCTCTATTCAGTGACAGGGTAGAGTCAGTCACCCAAGCTTCACTCCTATGAGAAAGAACACATTTCTAAGTTCACTGAGTTTGGGAATCGAATTTGGTTTCAGTTGTATATCCTAGAGCTCTCATGCAGTTCTTTTCTACAGCCCGCCTCCCTCCACATTCCTTCCTATGCCTACAATCTGTCAAGATGAACACATTCCAATTTAAAACCTCACCTTGTTAGGCCTGGTCTACTCAGAATAACCTCCTTAAATGAGTGACCACTAATTGGAACCTTGAAATATCCATCCAGTACCACTTCTGGAATATAGTGCCTCTTGAACTGTGGGTGAGTGACACTA